GACACCGCACAGTAACTCAGGTGCTGCTTCCTTGGGAGGAGCAAGTTTGTTGTATCTGCCGGCAGAGGCCATAGGCCCTAACCAGCCGACCTCTCCCTTCCGACCTCTCCCTTCTGACCTCTCCCTTCTGACCTCTCCCTTCCGACCTCTCCCTTCCGACCTCTCCCTTCCGACCTCTCCCTTCCGACCTCTCCCTTCCTCTCCCTTCCGACCTCTCCCTTCCGACCTCTCCCTTCCGACCTCTCCCTTCCGACCTCTCCCTTCCGACCTCTCCTTCCGACCTCTCCCTTCCCACCTCTCCTTCCGACCTCTCCCTCCCGGGGCTTCGGGGTCCACCTCAGTGACCCTGTTGAGTTCACCGCCGTTGGGACAGAGGGCACTCTGTCCAGGAGTCCTCTGGGGCCCTGGGGAAGCCATGGGAGAGGAGAGGGGGAGGGAGAGGAAAAGGGAGAGGGAGAAAACAAACTCCAGAAAACCCTGAGATTCATGGCAGAGAGAGCAGAGCCCAGAAACAGGGTTAGAAGAATGCACAGGACCTCGGGAGGAGAAGAGCTTGAGAACAGGACGCACTTTCATCCTTTGGAATCTCACGTAGCTATTGGGCAATAAGCAGTTGTTAACAGAAGAGGAAGAATCAGCGAACTACACAGCGTAAACGCTTGCCCGGCACGACCTGTATTTTAAACTTGACAGTTTGCCCACGCCACATTGGTTTTTCCTCCTTCAGTGTGCACACACGGGTTTCTCTGTGTCCTCCTCCTTTTGGTATTGTTTCTTCCTCCCTTTGGTATTGTGATGGTCCGTTTTGGTATTGTGGAGATCGCTGAACAAACTGGAGCGCGTCACATGATAAATTGTCATGTTCTTATTCTTAAATTCACGGATCCACGGTTTACCACGGCTGTTCCTTTAAGAACATTGGTGGTGTCTTTTCCCCCTCCCCTCAAGTAGATGCATGAATTCCATTCTTCCTTGCTTATTCAGATGTGCTTCTTCTCTGACTGGAGGGTGGCTGGGTCCCTCCGGCTCTGTCCTGTGACCCTTGCTGCAGTTCCATTCCCTCGCTAGGACCACAGTGTCTGACGAGGTGTGAAGGAGAAGTTTCAAGGTTGTCTGACGAGGTATAAACGAGAGGTTTCGAGGTCATCACGAGCGTTTTTACAGACCTGAAAGTCAATCATTTTGGTGACAGCCCCACCCTGCCGTGGCCACAGGTGTGTTATTTAGGCACTGTGTGGACCAGGTGTGCAATAAACGCGTTCATTCTCTTTTCTAGAATTTTTCCTTGAACGAAGGTTGGAAAGGTTTATTTTTAAGAAGCAGGTTAAAGTATGAAATCAGGCTGACATTTCCATGCTGAAGGACGTAGATGCGGGGCCCTCTTCCCTCTTGGAAACTGGCTTTTAAAATACCATGATGACACGTATGGTTTTATACTTGGGTAGTTGAAAAAGAATACCTCTAGCTATGCCACCCGCAGTACACCAGTCATGGTAGGTCCCATGTGTCTGTGTGGGCACACGTGCGTGTGTGCGCGTGAGCTTGTGTCTGTGGGCACACGTATGTGTGTAGTATGTGTGTGCCCCTTTAGGGACGTACCGACAAAACATATATTCTTCCCAGGGTTCTATACGGGGAAACTTCCCCTGAACCCGACCCCTGACCGAAGGACTGGCTCAGTTGCTCACTGCCTCTAGTGCCCAAGTTTATTCTCCATTTCTAGAGATTGCTTGTTTTCTTTTGGCTGAACTCTTAAAAGTAACACAGACATGTGCGTTGGTCCGGGGTCAGGATGGTGAGGCAGCCGCCGGCCTACGGTGGGGCTTGTGGCCATGTCTCTGCACATTTCTGCTCTGGCACCTGGAAGATGCTCTGGTGCTGTGGGATTGTCGGGGCGGGACAAATCCCTTCAGAGCAGCGGCATCTCATTGTGTGTGAAAAGACCTGAAAACCACACGTTGTGCATCTGCACCAGATCCGGAGAGGCAGCCCCCGGGCGCGTGGGGCCACCGCCCAGTGGAGGCCTCTGCCTCAGGGTGTTCTAAGGCCAGCATCAAATTCAATCTGATTTTCTGCTCCCTGCTCTGTGCGAGGTACCGTGCTGGCACCACTGAGAAAAGCCCGTGTGGGAACAAGGCAGTGTCCGGTTAGGTGACACAGAAACATAAACACAGAATGGTAGGATCACGTGGACTGGTGGGGGAGCCGCAGCTCTGCCCCGCGTGAAGACGGCGCTCGGCTTAGGCTGCAACCCCCCGTTCTGACTCTAGAACAAGCAAAAGTGCACATTTCACACTTCCCTGTTAATCTGAGTAGAGACAACTCAGGCTTCTCCCCAAACTCATCCCAGGTGCCCTGGTTTCCTCGCTCCTTTTATTCTTGGACATCAATTCAGCTTTCCAGGTTGTAGCTGCTTGGGCAGTGAGGGGGAGTTTTGAACCTAAAATCCTAACAGCATGCAGACTCCAGGCAGAGTGAGACTGTTCAGTGCAGGACCAGAACCCGCAGTCACGCGGCTTCTGCGCTCTGCCTGCAATGCTGTCATTTACGTAGCTGACAGGAGAGAAGATAAAAGTCAATAAAAACAGAATTCTTTATTAAAAAGGTCTAATGTTACAAGAACAGCACACAGAACTATTATCTGACTGCGCCTCCCACTGATATACTGTATCTATGGTTTAAATACAGATTGTATACAATATGTTTAACAGTTTCCACCCACTTCACAGCACCTTCAGCTAGGGCTGCAAAGCGTTCGCTCTCGGGAAAGTCCTAATTACAAGCAGCGCTGCTTTCTGTGTAGTTCAATTGACATTATACAAAAATACAGTCTCTTTAGTGATTTAAGACTGTGTGGTTTTGATGCCATCCAAGAAAATACCTGCCCGGCTGTGCAGCCAAAACGTAACGGGCCGTGGTAAGGGAAGCAAAGTAACAAACGTGTAATACCCAAGTCCATCAGCACTGGAAATTGTTCGTCAATTGGTTTATGATGCAAAATACGCATTTTGTGTGTGTGGAGTAAAAACATCCCACCCCTCTGATTTCTGGGAAAATGCAACTTCGGGCATTGTCCGTGAAAATGCTGGCGGGGTGTGTGCGAGATCTATAATCAGTCTGGAATATGGGTGGATTGGAAGTTGCCAGACATTGGTAGTATTTTTCTTTGTAACAGTTTCGTAGAGGATATCATGGACAGAGAGGGACATGGCTTGCTGCACCTACTATGTAAAAACTCCCATGATTAACACCTCCTTGTGGTTTTCCAGATGCACTGGCATTCTTAGGGTTACAGGCACCTTGGGAGAGCTCCCGATTCTGGGGTTAAACACCTCTCGCCACCATCCACGCGCAAGGCGCCGTTTGGGAAGGATGCTTGCTGTTGTTTGTCACAGGTTTAACTGCTCACCATCTGCACTGCCTGCTCCGGTCTACTGGCTCACACAGCTTTGCAATCACCTCTCCAGTGCTCAGGTTTATCTTCTCGGATAGGATTCTCCTCCCACAGAAAATGAGCACTTGCCATACCTAGATACATGGTGGCTCTGAGCGGAGTCTGAGGGCCCGGGGACTGGAAATCCTCACCTCTGCTCTGACAGGGCAGGTAGCATCCTCTGGGGCCATCTCTGGAGCTTAGTACCTTTTCATTTGTTGGCTGTTTAGGATTCCGTGGGAGGGACTGGGTGGGGATGGGGGGAGGTGGGGGGGGGCTCTTGCTCTCAGGTGGGTGTCACTGTGAGCTCCGTCTCGGGTGCTGTCTGGACAGCACGGTATCGTGAGTGTCTCCTTGGCTATGAGGCCCACCCTGAGTGTTCTAGAACCTCTGTGTCATCTGTGCATGGGTAGAATTTCCCTTTGCTGTCAGTAACCATCTCTACTCACTCAGAGCCCAGCCGCCCCTCACGTGACCGACTCTGAAGACTCAGAACCCAAGGATGCACAGCTGGTCTGCCTGGGTATTACATTATGGTGCCTTTAATTAGGAAAAACAAGTTTATTAATACGTCCTTTTTATTTTGATAGTTGGCAGGATTGTGTAAGTGACATATTTGTGCATGGAGCTATCAAAAATAATCAAAATTTATTTGCTCTGCTCGGAATTTGTGTGTGTGTGTGCCAATATGTGGGCTTGAACTAAGGGCCTGGGCTTTTCTGCTCTAGAAAAGCTAAGGGTGCTCTATACTGAGCTGAAGCTCCACATTGGGAATTTTTTTGCCAGGTAACTAGAGATAAGAGTCTCACAGATTTTCCTGCTCAGGCTGGCTTTGAACTGTGATCCTCAGATGACAGGTGTGAGCCACCAGCACCGGCTTAACATATAGGTATCATTGTTTGTGCAACACATTTTCATTGTCCTTAACATTAATTTGCAATCACAAGGAGGCCTTGGACTCGCTTCACAATCTGTTCTGACAAGAGGTGGAGCCGTGGGGAGGCTCTGCTCCAAGTTCATTGCATCTACCAGTAGCACGTGTCGCCTTCTGGTAGCCTGTGTTTTAGTGACTTTACACTATCTTTTGCTATTAAAAATAAACATTTGCTGTGTTTGCTGCTACATGGATGACGTGCTCGAAGGGGAACACACACCAGCCTCCCGGGACAGGCCCGCGCCCTGGGCAAGGCCGCGCAGCCCCGACAAGCCTGGCTGCGCCCCCAGCGCTCAGACTCTCCTTGAGAACATCTTTGTGCGTCTCTCCTGGCAGGGGCCGCCCCACTGAAGTATTTTCATACTCTCTTCTGGTCTGGCAATTGGAATAGCCAGAGGAAGAGAAAGGGAAAACACTGGACCCGCAGTCTTCAGCGAGATTTCATTCTCAGTCTGGGGTCTGTGCCGCAACAGAGCTGCGGACCACAGAGCCAGCGAGGCGGGCGCTCGCTCAGAGCCGTCGACAGAAAGCCAGACTCCACGCATTAAAAAATTAAGAATACATTTGAAGGAATCCCCTTTGCTTACAAGGCTCGCCGCACACACTCTGCATATTTTGTAACTGGGTTGTCCTCTCAAAGCAAAGCCTGGTGAGGAGGCAGCGTTCCGCGGCCCCGTGTGAGTGTACCCGCGGTTCTGCGGTTCGAAGCTCCTCTTCGGACGGGTCTCCACCTGGGCTCCTGGTGGCAGGTGTGTGGAGGAGCCGGCCAGGGGCTGCGGCCTCACCAGGCGGCGGGCGGGAGCAGCAGGGCTGAGGCCAGCACCGCCCAGGATGACACGGACCCCGTGTGCAGCGTCGACTGTGCACTGGTGATTTTCCCCCCTGAGGCAGAGAGAGAAGAACCGATGCTCAGGCCTAAAAGACCAACACGCCTGGGCTTGGCCCTGGTCCTACCAGTTAATGATAGGGGTGCATAGCGCAACACTTAAAGTTTCTCCGTGAAACAGGAGAAGTGTCTCTCCTTGTGCTTGTTAGGAGGCTGAGATGATCTCATGGATAGCAAGGGCTCAGCAAAAGCAGACACTTAATAACTGTGCTAATAATGAAAATGACCACTCTGAGTGTTGGTGGCTCAGGCCTGTAGTCCTAGCTACTCAGTTCCGAGCCTGCTTGGGAAGGAAAGCCCGTGAGACTCTTATCTCCAGTTGACCACCAAAAAGACAGAAGTGGAGGTGTGGCTACGTTCAGGCCCCAGTACTGGCACAAAACTAATGACCAATCAAGTTTATAATCTGCTTGGAAGTCAGTAAGCATCAAGTCGTCTAGCAGTAGGGTAACAGACAGGTAGGCATCAGCTAGTGCAATGCCAGTTTAAAGGCAATATTCCCAAAGCCAAGCGGGCTGGTACCGAGATGGGAAGGCCAGGTGGATCCCAGAGATGGGCACATCCTGATGAATACAGCAGCCTCGAGCTAGAGATTCTGCAGTGGTGAGCGGCTTGCCATGCTTGAATTCATGGGAGGAAGAGAGGAGAAACAGGAGAGACCCATCTCAGCATTCCCGAACTCTGCGCTTGTTGCGCAGTTCTGATGCGATTTAGAGCACCTTGCAGCGATCACAGCCATCAAGCGAGGCCTGTGAGGCCCAGCCTTACCTGAATATGAAGGCACTCTGATTTGGGAACTGGCCGTTCCGTCCCCTCCTTCGCTGGACGCCCGAACTTCAATGATGTAGACGCCCGCCTCCGGCAGGGGCACCACTGCCTGCGGCTTCTGGGTGACGATGACTTCGCTGTGGCTGTGGCCCTCCTGCCTGTAGATCACCTGCGAGGACAACAGAGCTGCTGTAACAGTCGGCGGCTGTGGCCGTCCACCGGCAGCGCCCATCCTCCCAAGCCCAGCGCACGGAGCTTAGCTATGTGAGCAAATGCCACGTGCGTTATCCACGGCCGTCGGGGCACACAGGGGCTCTGAGGTACAGAGAGAGGTTAATTCCAGAGCAGGTGGTACCGGAGCTAAGGCTCGAAAGACAGAGGGTTTACCAGCTTGACAAGAATTCAGACGGAGCTGAGGGAAGATACACCTACAGGAGCACAGGCCGGGTTTGTGCCGGCGCGATGCGGGCAGGTGGCAGCGAGGGAGCGGCCGGAGCGCTCTGCTGCCAGGTTCTCCTGTGAGCACTGTCCCAGGAGGGCCTGAGTGTGAAAGGAGGAAAGGGAAAAGCCGCTAAGTAACAACACATCCTTAGCCATATAGGAAATGGCTGGAGAGTTGAGCTGTGTTCAGTTGTGGCTTCCGTGGTGGTTTGCGTTGTGGGGAGCTGGCCTCTGGGTAGCAGCAGGTGGCTAAGTGAACGCTTTCTTGTCACCTCTGTGTGGTGGCAGACCTGAGCTCACCTACGTGCATGCAAACACCAACGCCAACCAAGACTCACGACTGTCCAGTTTCTACCAGGAAGCTAAGCAATAAGTGAATTTAGAGAATTCACGCAGGAGCCTGGGGCCCGGTGGGGGTGGGGGGCAGGGTTAGTGAAGATCCGTGTTCCGTGCTGCCTAGCTGCTTCACTGGGCTGCTCTCCTGCTCTTGCTGGTGTCAATTTGGACGGCACAGAACGGTCAAGTAGCAGCCCCTGACATGCTTTCCTTTCGTGTGCATGCTCTTTTAAGTATTGCTGTTACTAAAATAAGACTTGTGTGCACAGCGGAAATAGCAATGGCGTGGTCATCACATCAAAACCATTTCCTATAAAGAAAGCCAGAGAAGCAAAATCAATATTCTACACCTTTCTGCTGAGCAAATTTGGGCAAATCATTAACTTTCCTCAAACTGAATTCACTCTCTTGTTTGGTTGAAATAATGTCACCTGTTTCATGGTGGTACAAGGAGAAAGACCTGATGCTGGATGAGAGAAAGCTGTGGGGCTGGTGGGAGGCAGCTTGACTGAATCCCAAAGGACGGACTGATGGGAAGACAGACAGAAGACAAACACTCTGCCACCACCTCCCTACTTGCTATCTATCAATCTGTCTATCTGTCTGTCTATCTATCTATCTGTCTGTCTGTCTGTCTATCTATCTATCTATCTATCTATCTATCTATCTATCCATATTCCTATCTCTATCTACTTTGTGGAAATTGTGTTCAAAGTAACATGAAACTAAAGTTTAGAGAAGCAGTATTTTCATATACTGAAGCCTAGCTGTTCTTGGTTCTCTTTGCATGTAGTAATATATTCCCTTCATCTTCCATGGGTTTAAACTTACTTGGGGTCTTTGCAGGAAAATGACTTCATAAAGCACAGCATGATCTGAAATCCTCTTTACTGAAACCCTTTGGGAGGATACCATAGCTTTGATGGAAATGCAAGATGGTAAAGGAGTCTTACTATTTACCGGGCATTGGGCACCTGCAGCAGATCCACCAGAGAACGCCACGTGTGTGCTCTCCCCCCCAGGCCCTTCATGGCCAGACACACAGCAGCGCACGCAGTGCGACACGTGTGGTGCGGGCTCACGTGTGGTACTGCGGCAGTGCAGAGTACTACTCATGTCGGGAATCGGAAATGGTTTCTGGAGGATGCTTATAGCAGTTTCTTTATGCTTCATAACTGACAGTTCTATCAGGATTTATGCTTCTGAGTTTGACTAGCTCTGTGATGAATTAGAATTTGATCATCTACACGAGACAATTAGACATGAGATTTATGAACACGGGAAAGGATGTAAATTGGCGAGGATTGGCAGGGGAGCGACGGTGGTAGAGGACACTGTTGTTAGGGTTTCATAAATTACAATTTTTATGACAAAGGAAAACGCAGCCAGCAATGCATATCTAATGTTGCTGTAAAATCCAGAGTTGAAGAAAAATTTATGGATCAGTTGAGATTTGGGGACAAAAGGCAGAGGCAATGGAAAAACATCAGTTAATGGTCGCAAAAGGAATTTGTGATTAAACGTAGTCTTTACCAATGGTCTGTAAGGCTCCATGCTAGCTGCTGCAAGAGGTGTGCTCAGGGCAAAGTTACACTAAGTTTATGGTTTTAGAGAACTTTGGCCCATTTTAAGATCCCAGTTTAGAAAAGACAAGTGTGAAGAAGTCTAAGGCGTCATCAAGACACGCTAAGAATAGTTATGGACAGCAAGGAGGCAGGGGAGTTCTTTGAGAATCTGGACGTTGATAGATCACCAGTTTCCATGACAGCTGTATTTATGCAGAAAGGAAATTGTCTAATGTCAAGACTGCTCTCAAATTATACTGAAAAAACCAGAGAGTACTGGATTTTCCAAAAATAAAATCCTAAACAATTCCGTGCTTTCTGCAGTTCCCCGAGGCTCAATCTGGACATGAATGCTCTGTGTGTGGTACAGTAACAGACCATGGAGGGAATGTGCCAAAAACAGAAGAAGTTTTTTGCCAGTGATGTCTGTCAGTATAAACATAAAAAGGGTGGACCGTGTTGAAGTGAGGGCCTCCCCTCCCTGTCCCCCCCCACCCCCCCCAGCACCTCAGATGTATGGATGTATAAGGACTTTGTCTTTTTGACCCCCCCCCCAGCATTTCCGTCAAGTCTCCCTCATACATACTTGACATATGGGCCATTTTTGTTTTTTAAAGGAATTTTACTATGAAAAATATTAGGCACAATCGAATGCAGATGGTATGAGGGGTGGCGTGGAGCCCTTACTCAGATGGGACCAGCATCCAGCAGTTTCTTTAAATTGGTGAGACACAGGAAGAGGCTGTGTTTCATGTTGGGGATGAATATAAGAGGAAAGAGGCGTATGAAGACGTACAGCAGAGAGAGTGGGTGTGGACTTACAGCTCCCTGGGGGATGGTGGGATCCAAGGCCGGCTGGGAAGCACCGCGTCTGTCTGTCCCAGGACAGACAGAAATCTGCATCTCATGTATCCTACATGTCCCACAATCCTGTACAGCCCATGCATCCCTTATCCTGAGGAAATCCCATCTAAAGCATGCCTTCTATACCCCTCACATATCCCCTCTATCCCACACAACCCACACACCTGATACGTTTCATATATTCCATGTAACCATGTATCCCACAGCCCCAGGCACCCCGTGTACCTCACAGGGCCCTTCTGTCCCACATATCCTCCACACCTCCCATATCCACGCAGCCCACAGATCACCTAGACCCCACCCCATGCAGATCGTGTGTCTGTGAGGCCAGGGCTGCTGGTGAGCGGCCGCAGATGGCGGCTGTCTGTAATGATGGTTCCTAGGACACTCGGAACACGTTGGGCTCCGGCTGGGGCTGACAGGTGCGGCGTGGAGGTGGGACTGGAATGGGGGTGGGTGACTAAGTCCGGGAAAGGATGTTCTGTCGATGTGGACTAGAAACACAGTGTTCTTGGTTGACAGCCTGAAGCCCTTGTCCTGAATTCTCGATGACAGATGGTCCCTTTCTGTGTGGGAGGGAGTGTGCTCTGGTGGGGAGTGGACATTTCCTCCAGTGAAGTCCTGGCCTCTGGCATCTACTGCCTATTTTCCTTTCCACTTGAGGAAAGCAGCCGTGTGTCTGGGAAAAGTGAGGTGAGGATAACGTGGCTATTTATCATGTTGGTAACTGGGTTCACGAGGCAAGGAAAGCCCCCCATGCTCAGGATTGCTGAGAACCGCGGCTCACTCTCGGTGGACAGAGGGGGCAGCTGTGGGCGGAGGGCGGGGCCTGGCTGGTGTCGCGCCCAGCCCGCAGCCTGACGTCCGCTCTCCTCTGGCAGGTTCTGGCGTCTTGCGCTGCCGTGTGCTTTCCCCTCGCTCTGTTCTGCCCATCCCGTCTGGGAGACCGTGTTATGCCTGAACGGCGGCAGGTTGGTTCCCAACCGGACGGACCACATCTCTGGCTCCTAACCACGGAGGAGCGGCTCTGAGGTCGAGGACAAATCAGAAGGACATGGCCTTTGGGGGAAGGGTAGGGAAGGATCTGGAAAATGACCTCCTGCCACCCCAATGGTCAAACTGAATGCCCCTGAGCTCCAGGACAGATCTGAGTGTCTGGGGGCTTGTGTGTGACTGGCTTACCCTATGCAGGGCAACAGGCAGTCTTAAGTGTCGAGAACTGCTTGCCCTAAAATGTGTATTCCATTTCTGTCGGCTTCTGCTTTCGGCTCTCGAATGTAGCGTGTTAGACCCCAGATACTCTTACTATCTCCGATGGTAGAAAAGCCACCTATGATGATGTGTGCAGTCTAAATATTGCCACAAAAACGTTTTCCAATCTACGGTAAATATCCAGCTAGTAATTGCTTGGAATTGAAGGCGGTAAACAGAAGCCGAAATTGTGGAACAAGAATCTGAAATTAAGCCAATTCAATAGGTGGACCACATACATTTTAAACAGAGGCAAACCTGGTTTCTAGCAGCAAGCTGGGCGGTGTTTTCCCCAGTGCAGGGCTGCTGTCAGTGCCCGGCTGAGTGGCTGGGAGGCTCAGAACTCTGCAGGGAGACAGACGGCCGTCTCTCTCCCTGACTTCCCTTCCCAGGCCCTGGCCTTACCGCTGAAAGCATGCATCTTTGTTAATACCAAGTCCTTCTCCGCATCTGCCTGTCCGGAGGGTCTGCGGAGCCCGGGCCTGGCCCGTGTGGGTCTTTCTCCTCGAGGAGCATACCATATCCCTTCCTGGCCGTGGACCGGGCAGCCGGGGTTGCCTGCCCTGGTCTCCGCGCGTGCCTGGGGGCGGGTGCTCATTCTCTGACAGGAGAGCAGCCAGCGCGAGACGTGAGCGTGGGGGTGGAGGGGGCACTGACCTTGTAGCCTGTGACTTCGGACTCGTTGGCCAGCGGCCTGACCGGCTCCCAGCCCAGGGAGACCTGAGCGCCTTGCTGCTCCCACCGGAGGCCGCTCGGAGCTTGGCTGGGCGCTGCGGGGCAGAGAGAGAGCAGTCAGAGGAGGAATCCAAGATGCATGTCTTCATTTAAAGCCTCTGGGGAGGGCGTGGAGGGCGCCGAGGGCCTCCTCCCAGCCCAAGCCTCACCAGGGGGCTTGGCTCCAAGAGTGCCATTTTAATAGCTACTCCACTGAGCTTTGGAACTCAAATCGTTTTTATCTCCCTTCTGTGTCAGAAATCGCTTAGCCTTGTTTCAGGGGAAGATAACCTTTGTCCACCATGAATGCAAAGTTTTCTGACTGCTTTCGGAATTCAGATTTCAGCCTGGAACCAAGACGCGGGATCAAAACTCCTTCTTTGACCCCACCCTTCCAGAGCCTGGGATGGCTCTGAGGACCGTGTCCCCCCCCCACAGATCCCGCCAGGCTGAGGACCGTGTCCCCCCTTCCCCCCCCCCAGGCTCACACCCCGCGAGGCTGAGGAGCGTGTCCCCCCCCCCGCCAGGCTGAGGAGCGTGTCCCCCCCCACAGACCCAGTGAGGCTGAGGACCATGTCCCCCCGGCCCCCCCCCCATCCGGGCCCGCCGCTCACGGGACTTCTTGGTGACCACGCGCACTTCGCCGCTGGCGGGCCCGTAGCCCGCTCCGTTGTAGGCCCTCACGGTGATGTGGTACAGCGTGTTCCCTTCCAGCCCGGTCAGGACCGCGAAGGTCTCGTTCCCCCGGGTCTTGACGGTCTCTGCTGTGCCTTCCTCCTCCGCGTCTTTCCAGTAGCCAACCTGCCAACGTGTCAGACAAGACGAGGTCAGGACCAGGGTCCTGGTGAAGATGCCGGAGGCCGGCTCTGGGAAGAGATCACCCCGTGCCCCGTTCCCACATCAGCACCCGAAGGGCCGGGCGGGGTGCTGGGACTGTGCGTGCGGGGGTCAATGAAGGGAGCTGGGCAGGACAGCGCCGCTTCCGCCATGGAGCTGCGGAAGGGAATTTTCTAAGCAAGAACCCTGGGGTAACCCCTCAGGAGGGTGAATCACCACCTCCAAGCCGGGACGTGGGTGAGATGCAGAGAAACATCGATGTTAAGACATGGGTGGGGGGAGCTCCACCTCCCTTCCCGCCCTTCGTCCCTTCCCTTTCCCTCTTTCCTTTTCCTGATCATTTTCTGAGTGCCCGTCCTCTTTCCCCCCTCCCTTCCTCTCCCCTCCTTCCCCCTCCCCCTCCCCTCTCTGCCTCGGTTCTCCTCCCGTGTGTGGGGAGTGGAGCTGCCCCTGCCCTTCCTGCTGGCCAGCCCGGGGCAGGGGGGTGTTTGCTTCTTCCTGCCGTGGTGGGTTCGCCCTGCGGGCTGCGCCCCTCCTCTGCACGGGACTCGCTCCTCACACGCCCTCAGCCCTCAGCTCCGTCAGTCCCACTCGCAATGGTTTTGCAAACCGCTTAATGTATGTCATAAACAGGGTTGCTGAAACTCCAGTAATTCAATCCTTTCTGACGGAACCCTGCCCGGAAGGCCTTTACTGATCCTGACTCGTAGGAAAGGAGCCTAATAAAGTGGTCAAATCCTATTTTTTAACCCCATTTCCCCACCAAATTGAAAGCACATTATAGCTGAATGACTGAACTTCAGAAAATTGCTTTTGAAAGCTAGGAAGCTAGGAGCCTGGAATCCTATCTTTTCTCTGCTGCTGGCCCCATTATTTCTTGTTTCGAGAGCTAGCTCATCTTGCTTGGTCTTGAGCATATTTTTTTAGCCAAAAAAAAAAAAATCTAGGTTATTTTCAAGCTGCAGAATTGGCCGAGAAGTAGTTGGGTGAACAAATGCTAGCTTTCCTTCCTAGTTGCTGTATCTGACTTCCTTGTCTCTCCAGTAGCCTTTGGCGGCATCACAGGATTTCAAATACAATTATGGTCAGAAAGAACTGAGTTGGATTGAATAACAGATGACAAAGTTTGCTGCTAATACAGACCGGTATGAATTCTGGACTGCCAGATATTGACTACTGGATGTTTTGATGAACCGCCATAATACGAACTATCCCAAGAAAACTATAAAATGTCCGTTACGTAACTCACTGTGAGGACAGACTTCTCCTGTGCCACCTGAATGGAGGTTGAGCCCTAGAGAGAAATCTAGAGCTCTTATTTTTCCTAGAGCATATCTTTAGGAACGGGGTTGGGGTGGCTCCGGGCGGGTTGCGGACGGGGCACCGTGAGGGCTGAAGCTGAGGAGCCACGCGAAGCGCCCTGGTTCTGCTGCGGTCCCGAGACCAGTCCATAGAGACGCAGGGGCTGTGATTGTTTGCCGGAGACAAAGCCAGCAGGAGAGCGGAGGGAAGGGGTGTGGTGGGTGTGGCGTGGAGGGGAGCAGGGGCAGGACACACCAAGGGAAGCCCAGAGGGAGAGCCGGTGGCCGGGAAGCAGGCCGAGTTCCGGAAGGCTCGGAAGCAGGAGTCGGGGTGGAGGAGCCACTGTCAGACTTGTGTTTTGGGAAGATGCAGCAGGGGAAGGCTGCTTTCTGGGGGCGCTGCGGGCTCCGCTGCACTGTGGCTGTGCTGGGCTGCCTGTGGAATAAACTCCGCACCGTGGTACAAGTCTCCACGCCGCGAGATCTCTGCATCTCCCCAGCGCCAGTGTCCTGCACCGGCCCCTCCTCACACAGCCTGCCAGGAAACGCCCAAATCCAGTCCACTGGCGGCTGCCGGCTGGCGGCCCGCTCCTCGGCCTCGCCTCCGCCTCCAGTTTCAGCGTCACTGCGAATCTTCCGCAACCATTTCCCCAAGGAGACCTTCCCCTCCTCAGCTGCGTCCCTGGCTGCCGTTTATCACCATGATTACTACTTGTAATTATGAGTGCGTGAAATCACCCTCATTCCTCCGTTGATGCTCTCCTTTAAGATGGTACAGAGATGATCATTGGTCCTACTGGATGTGAAGAACTGATGGCGACCAGGTGGCACAGTGTCTCCAATCAGGAGAGGCCTGGGCTGGACCTGGGGGGCAGGGGGACCCCCAGGGCTGCTGCACAGGGCCTGGGCTGGACCTGGGGACCCCCAGGGCTGCTGGACAGGGCCTGGGGGGTGGGGGGACCCCCAGGGCTGCTGGACAGGGCCTGGGGGGCGGGGGAACCCCCAGAGGTGCTGGACAGGGCCTGGGGGGCGGGGCGACCCCCAGGGCTACTGGACAGGGCCTGGGGGGCGGGGGGACCCCCAGGGCCGCTGGGCTGGACCTGGGGGCCCCCAGGGGTGCTGGACAGGGCCTGGGGGGTGGGGGGACCCCCAGAGGTGCTGGGCTGGACCTGGGGAGCGGGGGGACCCCCAGGGCTGCTGGGCTGGACCTGGGGGCCCCAGGGGTGCTGGACAGGGCCTGGGGGGTGAGGGGACCCCCAGAGGTGCTGGACAGGGCCTGGGGGGCGGGGGGACCCCCAGGGCTGCTGGACAGGGCCTGGGGGGCGGGGGGACCCCCAGAGGTGCTGGACAGGGCCTGGGGGGTGGGGGGACCCCAGGGGTGCTGGACAGGGCCTGGGGGGCGGGAGACCCCCAGAGCTACTGGACAGGGCCTGGGGGGCGGGGGACCCCCAGAGCTGCTGGCCTGGCCTGGAGGTGGGTGCGACACCCAGCAGTATTGCCATCATGAATGTTTTGAACATGGAATCAAATGACTTCGGGGGAAAGCTTCGCTGTGGGGGACAAACAGGGTGCTTTTGGGTTTTAAAATTCCTTGAAAGTGTGTGAAATTGGTCCGTCCTTCAGGATGGAGGCGTCCCTGGGGTGAGTGTTCCTTCTTTGACCTTTTAACTCTGCATTTTCTTGTTTCTTTTCACTCTGCATTTGCTGACGCTTTACTTCCAAGGTTTCTATCTTCTTCGAGGACACCTATTTATGGGCCAAATCTGTCTGTCCTTCGCATCCACCATCTTCTCTCTCACCTTCCAACTTAAGCATTTTCTTACTCACTTACATTTCCTTCCAGGTCATTTCTCAGGTTTAAGTATTTAGCCATACCAGGCGTGCCCAGGCGCCTTACAGCTTCCAATATGTATGTCTTATCTTGGTGACTGTGTTCCTAATGATCTCACTCCCCCGAATCTAGAAATGTTCTTGAAACTGAAGAGACTATTCTTGTGCGCTGTGTGGAGAGTTAGAAGGATTTCTTTAGCAATTGTCTTCTTATCTGTAGAATAAGCTTTTAGGAGGACAGGGATGCCGGCTCTTTCTGCTTGGGCGGAGTGGTGGAGAGGAGTTCCTCACCCCAGCCCAGGGCTGTGCTCTGGGGCTGACCCAGGGGAGGGCCGGCTGCCGTACAGGCTTCCAGAAAACAGACAGAAGCCTGGGCCCGGCTGGGTGCAGTTTGTTTCACTGAAGCAAAGATAAAGAAGGAAGAGGCCAGAGGCTATTTCCCTGCTTGCTTGAACCTAGAAAATGGGATTTTGCAGCTGGGTCATTGCACAGAGATGAAAGGGAAGGAAACAGCGCACTGTGAGGATTCAGTTCCCTCGGCTAGCTGTGGCTAGCTGGGTCTGCCGCCGAAGGATTCAGTTCCCTCGGCTAGCTGCGGCTAGCTGTGGCTGCCACCGAAGGATTCAGTTCCCTCGGCTAGCTGCGGCTAGCTGTGTCTGCCGCGGACCGCGGGCTCTCAGGGGAACTTACGTGTGGCCACCTGATGCACTGCCAGCCCTAACATGGAACTGGCAATTGGTGGGATTGGAGGCTAGAGCAGAAATGTCAGTCAGCCTACTGTCCCGCCCAGTCCTTCACCGGCAGGTGCCCCGTGAAACGTGACCGACTTTCCCTGTTCCTCCTTGGAGAGGGGGGTGGGGGGAGGAAGAGGGGGGGTGCCCTTCCCGGCTGGAGGCTGGCGGAGGCCTGGATTGTTGGATCTGGTCGGTCTGCAGGTTCCTAATCTCCCGGGTTTAGCTGTGGGTCCAGTTATTAAATTGACTATTCACAATCAACGCTCAGTGATGTGAGGGCTGGTACGGTTGCAGGCTGATTCCTTGCTTTGTGCCCAGAGGCAATTTTGTCATAAAGGAAGGACACAATTTAATGAATCAAATCAAATAAATAATGCTTAAACTTCTGAATATTTATGAGGCAATCCAATAATGATTAGAAGATATGAAATGAAGGTTAGAATACAACAGACCATAATAATGAATACCATTTACTGAATAAATTTATATTTATTTTTGAGAATGTTAATTTCTAAAAAAAGATGATTTCTACAAATATAATTTTGTTTTTAAATGCGTTTAGTTTAGTAAGAATCTTTAACACATTAACTTCCTTCACATTCCTAAGCGTTCTAAATGAGCACGTTGATTAAGAAAATTCTGGAATCATTTGAATCCAACTGATGTAATATCAAGTGTTTGTGCGATGACCTGTGACCCTGTCTACTAACACGTGTTAATTAAAAGAATAAAAGTTAATACTTTCAGGAAAATCATAATCTTGGGATGAACTTAATTATATTAGGTAATGCTAGAGACTAAGTGTTCTGGAGACCACAGACCTAATAGATTAATTAGAAAAGGACGGAAGCTGAAAACCATAGACCTATCGATCTGAAGATGGTTGAAGTCAAAAGAAGAACACAGTAAGGGTAGAAGTGGTCCCTCAAACCAGAAAAGCAAGATGATAAAGCCAACACTACTTCCTTGGGAAGACTCAACATTTATAACTGTCTTTTAATCAAAGTGATCTGGTGATTGAAAGAGACAGTGGGACGGTGGGAAGGGGGTGAAGAGAGGGAGGGAAGGAGAATACAAACTATTGATACAAACATGCCCA